ACACACACACACATATCAATGTGAGAGCTACAGACACACACACATACAAACACATCAATGTGAGAGCTACAGACACACACACATCAATGTGAGAGCTACAGACACACTCCTTATTGGGAATGAATCCTGCTCAGTTCCCTTTAATGCTCTCGTCACTAACACGCGTCGCTGCCACACAAGGCCCCACCCTGTCTGTGAGAGTCAATCAGCTGTTTCAGTCAGTAGACTGTCTGTCATCTGTTCTCCGTGCCTCAAGCCTCACAGTTTATGGACACGCAATAAATCAATTCACCATGCACATGTGATTTTATCAATGAGTCCACTAGCGGTGATGAAGTCATGCTGTTGCTCAGAGTTCAGTGCACATACCTGGGGGGGAACCACTGGCACTCCTTCTGTAAGCCTGTCAGTGACATTGACAGTATTTACTGTGACTTGGGACTAACGACCACAATTTCCATTAACTACATTATCTAGGCTTTTTACCTTACACATATATTTGCTATGCAAATACATATTGATTTTGATAGCAGCCTATACTAAAGCACACAATGTCCCTATATCTTGAGGGCTTTAAAGGTGGTTGTTTATCTTACGTCAACATTTTGAGAATATGAATACAATGTTTGTTCTAAATCTGTGGTTTTGGAATGTTCTGTGTTAATGATCCAGAGCTACTTCAGAATCGTTCCTTGTCATTAGTGAGTCCTCCTCAAACAGTTCTACAACTGCTCACCACAATTGTAAAGAGAGGTTATCTGAGTTACCGTAGCCTTTCTGTTGGCTCCAACCAGTCTGATCATATACTCCTCTGACCTCTCTCATCGACACAGAGCTGCTGCTCACTGGATGGTTTTTAGTTTTGGCTCCATTGTGTGTGTTAAATCCTCACACCTGTACCTGCATGATTTTATGCTCTGCTATTCTACAACATGATTGGCTGACTTGTGAAAAGTTTGTGTCATTCCTGTTACACAAGGCCCTTTGTTCCACAATATCATTTCACTTCAGTTGAGTATTTCTTTTTGATAGATCTTGGTTTTGAAATGTGTTGGTTATTTAAAGGTCCAGTGTGTAAGATTTAGGTGAAAGGGAACTATTGGCAGAAATTTAATGTAGAATAATCCTCGTGATGTTTTCACTAGTTCATTTCATCTAGTTTCATCTAAAAATTGTAGTTTTTTTTACCCCAGAAAAGGTCCTTTATATTTAAATAATTTATATTTACATCGAGGGGGTCCTCTCTATGGAGGCTGCCATGTTTTCTACATTTGTTCAGACTGGACAAACTAAACACACTTTGAGTTTTATGACAAATGAATGCTCCACAGGTTCTCTTTCATGTTTGGAAGGGGAGGGTGAAGTGAGGGGTGTTCAGCTGCAACATGCAATTTCAACACTAGATATCACAAAATTCCACACACTGTACCTTTAATAACCCCCACTGGACAGCTTCTTCACATGTCACACTCATTTCTTGTGTAGGCATTCAGGGAGAGGGGAAGATGCTGCAGAGTCCGTCAGTAGACAGCAGTGGCTCCACATTCACTCCTCTGGTGGTGGTGGAGCTGGCTTCAGACACCAAGGAGGAGGCCATTGCATGGCTGCTGAGTAGGATAAGAGACCAACAGCAGAATGGAGGTAGAGTTCTTCTCTCTCCTAACATTTCTTCGTTGCATCCAGTGTTTTTAATCCTGTCATTTTCCCAGGTGCTGAGCTGCTGGTGGAGCAGCTGGGCCCTGGAGTTGGGGCTCAGGAGAAGGAAAACCCCAACATGTTCCTGGTGGGGGCCCCTAGGCAGAGGCTGCTGTCTGGTGCTGAGGAGGTGGGCCTCTTCAAGGAGTTCAGTGATGGATCCATGAGGGCGTTCACCTCCACCAACAAGCACAACTTCAAAGACTTTAAAGGTGAAGTTTGAACTCTGCATGGAGTTTATTGTTTGGTTTTTGAATATGTCTGCTTTAGAATAAAGTTTAAAACTGTAGCTCGAGTTGCACCAGGATGAAGCTCAAATGCATTCCAGATTCCAATATTGACACAGTAGTGGCACGAATCAACAAGCAAACCCACAAAGGGTTGTGCTCCTAAGGTTTATTGAGGGATTGTAGGCTGTTGTAATAATTATGACATAGAGAAAATAACTTTGATGGATTCTTTTTTTTAAAGATTATTATTTCAGTATATTTTCGTATGACATGGAGAGATGATCTTCTGCCTGAATTGATCTGTGGACGATGCTGTATCTGATCTCTGTAATTGTCACACTCACACTGCACTGTTTGTTACACTGTTACATGCCTCTGTTTTGAGTGTCATGGTGACTGTTTATCTCTGCTCTGTGGCTACAGGTGATGGAGACAGCTTCCTCAGCATGGCCGAGTGCCAGTACATCATTAAACATGAGCTGGACACATTAAGAGCCAAAGATGAAACTCATGTTCCAGGATACACACAGTTCAAGCTCTACCCTGGGAAGTCTATCAGTAAGTGTCTGTCCACGCCTCAAGCTGTCAGTTTACAATTTAGCAAAGCTCTGTTATAATCAGTTCAGTAGATTGCATGCAGATGTGGGCCATTTCAGGCAATGATGCGCCAATGACGCGGGACACAAAAAAATGAATGTGAACCTAAAGCCCACACAGCAAATGTGACCCAAATATCCCAAAACAAATGTGGCCTTATTTGGCAAATGTGGTGTTCTCAGCATGGTGTGATTTGGATGTGAACCTTATATGGCCCATGTGGTAAATGGTGAATATGGCCCAAATAAATTATTTGTGGCTCAGACCTGGCAAACAGGAGCGGATCGCCCCAGTGCCGTCATTCCGTATGGTCTGTGGGCTGATTGTGGGATGTGGTCCAAATCTGGGCCCAAACAGTTTTGCTATGTGGGGATCTTTCCTTACTTGTCAGGTATTCTACAAAAGCAAAGGTGGTTATTTTATCAATGACCATGTTCCTAATTGATTTTCCTATAAATGTATTCACCGCCATCACCCATTCTCTTAACACTCTCATGGTCAATCTATCGGATAAATATTTAATCAGAAACATTCTCTGGCTCAAGCTTTTCTTCAGTGAAGAGGGTTCACTCCTTTCTTCATTTCTTTTTTTTTTTCATAAATAAAAAATGATGATTATTGTGTTTGTTGGACAAAATAAGTAATTTAGAGATGTCACCTTGGACCAATGAATCATGTAATGGACATTTTTCATTAATGGTACTACAGACTAAACCCTGATTACTTGCAAAAATATTCAGTGAATTAATGTAGAACAGAAATAACAGTTAAAAGCTTTTAAATGGATGATGGATGGTTTTTAATGATCTGACACCAAACCTATTGTGGCATATGTACATTATTTCATCCATATATGCATCACATATATTTTGTTATTAGTTGTAATGATTTTTAGTTTTAATGAAATAAGGCAGTAAAACTAACAGTCTGCCTCTACCTCTCTCTCCGTCTGCCTGTGGCTGCAGTATGGAAACAATAAATATGCAAATGCAGTGAATATTCCCAACGTGAGATAAGGAAGCAATGAACACTCAGTGGAGATAGGCTGTGTCTATTCAGTGCCTGTCTTTGAAAAATGGTGTTAAAGCAGAATGTAATCATTTTGGACAAATGATGCACTCAAGAAATGGGAGATAAAATGATAGAGCTTTTATGTACTTGTATTTAGTCACTCTGTGCCAGACAATAGGAATTATTGCTACATAGACAGTGCACTGTGGAGAATGTGCTGGCTCCCAGTCATTATGTGCCTGTACGTAAAACTTATTTTTTAAAGAAATTTAAGCTCCATTTTTATTTTTTGGAGGGAGTTCAGACTAACAAAAGTGCAGCAACATCTGGCATTTAATTCAAACCTCTGAGCAAATAAGTCTTTATCAAAACACCTGATAGTAACTTCACAAATTCATCATCTAGATTATAAAATAAGATCACCATGGTTTGACAGTGATGCTGAAGTACAGTACACAGGACGTAACTATTTTCCTTCCATGTTAGTTCGCAGGCTGCAGTCCAAAGGGATCTTGATCCAGATGTTTCCTCTCCATGAGAGGGAGGAACTGAAGAGACTGTCTTTCTCCTGGTACAAGAAGGTGAAGTTGTCCCTGCAGCCTCTTGGTAAGTGGAAGAAGTAGCCAGAGTGTGATATGTGTGGAGGCAGTTGTTTTTGAAATCTTGATTATTCATGAAAATAAATCATGGACCACAGTGGGTCTATATAAACTCTATTCTCTTAAATTTAATTTTAAAACAATGTTGTATCTTGAACTTTACTGCCTCTGCAGGAATATTTCAATTCAATCCTATTTGTATTTATATATTTAATAAAAAATAATCCAAAAATGCAATATCACACTGTCCTGTCAACATTAAAATGACTAAGCTGCTGTCAAATGAGTCCCAGCACTGACAGTGGGAGTCAGCTTGGTGAGTTTGATGTTGTTTCTTGTATATATTTATTTATTAAAGGTAGGTCATATGGTCTATTGGTGAAGTGGCGTTAATCCGTAATGGGAGTAATTTTGTCTCGTTAGGGGATAAAAAATAATGCAGCAGTGGCAAGGAAATATAGAAAATTGCACCCGTTAAGTACCAATGTTCTTATGTGAAAACTTTGTTTGGGTAGCATAATTCACATTCTAAAAATAAATCCAGAAATCTCTGTCTGTCCTTTCACTTCTTATCCCATGTTGGCTGAGTGTTTCTTTTGGATGAGCCTCCATCTAGAATTTAACCCACCACCACCACCACCTGTTTCTTTTAAACTGAACTTGCTGTCTTGTCAGTTACTCTGATGTTGGGCTGATTTCTGGATTTATTAGCAGGATGCCATGTTGTTAGTTGAGCTGTTGTTTGCAACCTTCTGTCATCCCTTTTAACAAGCAGCCACACTGACAACTCAGAGTAAACGTTCAGTAGCCTTTTCATAATTGTGTAATACGCTTAGATCGAGTCTCCACCAGGTTGGGTGAAGTAAAGTTGTCCAGGCAATGAAGATATATGCGCCAACCAAGTGACCATTGACTAGGGGTGTAGAGTTCCAGCTCAGGGCTGTTCCTTTCCTTGATAGATGTATTTATTCCTCTTCTTTTATTTTCCTCTGTCCCCAGATGACATCAGACACTATTACGGCGAAGGCCTGGCCTTCTACTTTGGCTTCCTGGAGTACTTCACCTTTGCCCTGGTGCCTATGGCCCTCATCGGGATACCTTACTATCTGTTCGACTGGGAGGGATACGACAAATATGTGATCTTTGCTGTGTTTAACTTGATCTGGTGTACTGTTATCCTGGAGGTACGGACAGTGATTTTTCTGATTTTACATAAACCAAATTAATTTTTACTACCAGTCAGTGAACTCAACTATTAAATGATTTATAAGAAATGAAGTGATAATGTGAGCAGATAGATGGTATGAGCATATTCTGTTGTAGCTTTATTGATTAACAACAAAGTGATCAGCTGAACTTCTCCTCCACTAGTTATGGAAGCGGGGCAGTGCCTCACTAGCTTACCGCTGGGGCACACTGAGCAGGAAGAAAGCCTTTGAAGAACCTCGGCCTGGTTTCCATGGTGTCCTTGGGTTCAACCCTGTGACAGGCCGCGAGGAGCCTCTCTACCCCAACGCCAAGAGGCAACTGCGTATCTACCTCGTGTCCCTGCCCTTTGTCCTGTTCTGCCTCTACCTGTCCCTCTACGTAATGATGATTTACTTCCTGATGGAAGGATGGGCACTGACAGTGCACGACGAGGAGCCCACATTCTGGACAGGGATACTGTTGTTCATCCCGAGTATTATCTACGCTGTGGTCATAGAGGTTATGAACCTCATCTACAGATATGCTGCTGAGTTCCTCACAGAGTGGGGTGAGTTGTTACTCAAAACTCTAGTGTTGATATAGAAACAACGTGATTCTCAGATGTGACATTTAGCTGCTTTTTAAATTAAAGGACAGTGGATATGTTCAGGTTTAGGACCTTTTGCTGGAAAAATAAGAAATTTAAAGATCATAATAATGATCATCATAATCCTAAATAAGGTTTAGTTGCAACTCGAGATAAAATCCCTTATTGCATCACAATTATTGTGTATTAACTTTTGTCCAAAGTGGTTTACAGGTAATGATAAGACCAGCATCATCGCACATTTGGGTCATTTGCAAAAAAACTGTTGGGACATGTGCAGACCATGACTCTTCTCTTAGTCTTGGTCTCTCAAGGTGGGACGACAGATTAATTCACTGATTCATGTGGGTATGTTCAGCCATAATACAGCTGCCATGTTGGTCCAAAATTTGGTCTTCTCATTTAAAAACCTATGTAGGTGCATAGAGGTTTTAAAGAGAAAACCATCATCCTCTTTAAGGAACCACACACCTACACATGTTTCACTTATTGTCTATTATTCAGAATGATCACCTGAGGACCAGAGTACGCTGTTAGTTAAGTAGGGTCACTAAACTATATGTACCAGTAAGAATATATGAGGAAGTCATTTGCATAAAGGGTGAGGGAGAAATGTAAATCCAGCCCAGTTTGTACAATTCATGCTACACCAGCTGCCATGAACTGGGCCACTGCCACAAGTGCAACATATTTCATAATATCTGCTTAGAAAGTGCAACACAGTTATGAGCTGTGTCTCAGGTAAGGGACCACGTCCTTCAGAGACCGCTGCATCATATAACCAAATGCATCCTTTCATCCCAGAGACACAAAGGCTCACCCACTCACTCACACACACACACACACACACACACACACACACACACACACACACACACACACAAGGTTAAACAAAAATCATGTGACTGGTAATAATGAAATGAACAACAACAACAAAAATTCTGCCTTCACAACTGACGGCAGTGCATGATGCATAATGGGAAGTTATGAGAAATGTGCTGTATTTTTGGGGCCATCCTTTGTTTTCAAAGTCCCTGTTTTCCTCCTTTGTGTTTAGAAAATCACAGACTAGAGTCTTCATATCAGAATCACTTGGTTCTCAAAGTACTGGTTGTGAGTATGAAAGACTTTCTCATGTTTTCCAATATCATCCTTCAGTAATCAGCGTTCAGACTTATTATCACTGGCTTCATCATTTTCTCTTTAGTTCAACTTCTTCAACTGCTTCGCCTCGCTCTTCTACATCGCCTTCGTCATGCAGGACATGGTGCTGCTCAGACAGGTGCGTCTTCCCCCCTCCCCCCTTCTCTCATCCTTTCTTTTTTTACTTCTGTTTCTTTCTATCCTCACTCTGTTCTTTCTTCACTGACCCCTCTTCTCTCGTTTTGGTCTGTGTGTGTCCAGAGTCTGGCCACCTTGTTGATCACCAGTCAGATCTTGAATCAGTTCATGGAGGCCTTCCTGCCTTACTGGCTCCAGAGGAGACGCAACAAGAAGATGATCCGCAAAGTCCAGAAGATAAGAACTCTCGAGGACAAAGAGCTTCCTTCAGCCGACCAGGTTCGCCTGGAGGCAGACATGAGCACATACTTGGTATGGTTGCATCCTTCCTTTCTCTCATTCATTGTCATGATTTTGCATCCTTACCCTTGTCCCTAACCCTAACCCTGTTTGCTCTTCACACGAGACAATACACGAGTACCAAGTCTGTATTCGTGTGTTTATACATCCATGTTGTCTTTCTGCTCTTCTCTCCCTCTCTTAGGGTACATTCGATGACTACCTGGAACAGTTCCTGCTGTTTGGTTATGTCAGTCTGTTCTCCTGCGTCTACCCTCTGGCCGCCGTCCTGGTGGTGCTGAACAACATCACTGAGGTTTACTCTGATGCCTTCAAGATGTGCCGCGTGTTCAAACGACCCTTCTCCGATCCAGCAGCGAACATAGGAGTCTGGCAGGTGCGAGCAAAGACAGCTGGATATGAAAACATTTTAGCAACATTTATAGATTCACTTACAACCATATGGAGTTTTTGGAGTTATACTTCATTGTGTTAAACCAAGGACAATAAATTATACAGACATCCTCTTTAGTTACCAATATTCATTTCCGTCTGAAATGTTATCCGAGTAAGCTGTGAATAAAAATATTATACTTCCCCGGAAACAAACTATTGTTCATTTTAAACTAACTGTGCAGGTTGATGAAGAACAAGGTATCACATGCTTTTCATTTTTTGAGAACCAATGGTTGACTGTTTTTCTGTTTCTGTGTTCAGCTCGCCTTTGAGGCCATGAGTGTGATCGCTGTTGTGACCAACTTTGCACTGATCGGGATGTCTCCGCAAGTCAAGGCTTATTTCCCAGACTCGGAGACGCAGCTCATTCTCTGGACAGTAGCTATTGAGGTAATTCATATTTACATACAGTACATACACAAATGCACTCCTATGTACATGCACATATATAGTTTAGAAAGCCTTTATTTTGTGGTCACACATCATCTGTGCTGTATTTGCAGGGCATCAGTGGCAAACTGATTGATCTGGTTTGACATATTATAAAATGAAAACTGAGCAGTCTTTAAATGAATTGACTAAAACATGGAGATTCAGCTCTGCTCTGTGCATGTGTGTATCTTCAAGCATAATGCTGTAGTTGAGGGGCTGTTGAAGATTATTGCTCACTAGATGGAGCCAGAGTCCAGTATCTGTTTGATCCAAACAGATACAGTATGTGAGCGATAGAGAGACAAAGAGACTGAGTGAGAAGGCCTGATTTTGTGTACATGTGTCTGAATGAATGCCTGTAGATTACTCTCATTGTTTAGTTGTGTGTGTGTCTGTGTGTGTGTGTGTGTCTGTCTGTGTGAGCGCACTTGCGTGCATGCATGTGTGGGTGCATTCATTAAAATCCAGCACTATCACTTCAGATTCTTCGTCAAGTCCACCTCTACTAATTTTGGAATCAGCCTGCTCCCCTTTTTTGTTCTATTCAGACCACATGACGACAATGCCACACACACACACACACACACAAACACACACACACACACACACACACACACACACACACACTTCACACACACACACACAGCCCATGTCTCCAGGGAAAAAGCTCAAAATAACAGCACTAATACAGAAATAGTGAGGCTGTAGTGAATGGGGTGGATGTTGGAGGGTGGAGATGTCTTTTCAGGAAATTCATACAGAAACCTTTTGTTTGTTTATGCTCTTGGGGAATCATTTTTTTAACTAGTTGTTGCCTCTGACTGTAAAATGCTCCATAAAGTCTGCTGTACCTCATTGTGTGGCAGTTCGCTGCTGAGGAAGAAACTGGGTCATATTGATCCACTGCATGTTTGATTGAACATGTGGTCTGCACCCACAGAGGTGAATGAGCAACTCCTCTGTTCATGGAAAAGTTCTTCACTATGTGTGGTTTTCTTCTTCAGCTGATGTCACGACAGCCCTGTGTTCAATTAAACTTTCCTCTCTTTGGGTTGGAGATGGATTGAGCCTCACTCTATCCCACAGGCCGCTGCAGGTTGAGAGCACTGACTCCCTGAATTGTGTTTTGTCCCAGGAACCCCCATTAATGGTCTTCTGCCATTATTATTGCGGCCGTATCGACTGTTTACACTTTGGGTCAGGGAGGTTAATCACTAATATACAACCTATGTCTTCACCGTGCTTTTAACAAATGTCATAACAATCCATCCAATATCTGTTAAGATATTTTAGCCAAGTGACCAACAGAGCCACAGCATCCTTACAAATATTTAATCTCTGACAGATTCAAGCTTCTCTGTCTGCTTGTTATCCAGACAGGCCTCACTAGCATTAAAGTCAAAGCATTTCCCACCACCGTGATGGGCAGGTCATTTTAATGAGTAACTTGTTCAAAATAAAGACTTTAAATAATGAGAAATCTTCCCTGTATTTTGATTCGGGCTTAAAAGTCTCTCTTACTTTCCACACTGGCGTAGAGAAAGCAGCTTGTGCATTTTGTTGTTAAATGTAAGCTTCATTTACAAATGTAATTAAAATGTGAGGTGTGTAGTTACACATGATATTATCCAGATTAATGTACAATATGTGACATTAGGTGTGTCAGACCAGTTTTACAGCTAACATTAGTTGATACATTTTATTAAGCTCATGTGAGCCTTACTGGACTTTACTGATTCAGCTCACTTTGTTGAAATACTTTATACAGTAACAACTCTTGTATCCACAGGGAGGAAGGGTCCTGGAGGTACTGCATCCCTGCCTCTCACAACAATTTATTATTTTCTGTTGTGAGCTTGAAAAAATTGAACCTAGTGATAAAGTGGAGTGGGAAAAAGAACCAATTTTGAGATTTATGTGGCTCATGGACTCGGTTGACAAATGTCAGGACATTACACTCCCCCTCCACCTGTCCCTCTGGACTGTATTGGTTTTTGAATTAAATAGATCATATAAGATAGTCTCTATTTTGGAGATGGCACTTGAACCAGTTCAGGACACTTGAGATGAGAAACAATGTCTGTAAGAGTTGTGAGGTTTATGGTTAAAGGAGTGGTACTGTGCTTTTCTATAGCTGCTTTCACACATGCACTAAACTCAGGAGAACCTCAACACATTCTCCGGAGGGGCAGTATGTGTGATGGCAAATGTCGGAGGTTGTCCAGCCAGTCCCCTAGTAAAAAACTCAGCAGAATGTCTGGAGGAGGCGACGTGAAAACACAACAGGATTCACCAAGAGCAAGTCTGTGGTAGATCGCGCTTCAAACACGCGACAGACGCAAAGACAAAACAGAAGCCGACACCAGTGTGGATGTTCTGTAGACAAATAAACGTGATCTCCACAGCAGAATTTAAATGTCACGTCCTGCTTCTGCCTGTTGCACCACCCCTCACATGAATGCTCCAGGGATTTCTTTGTTGTTGTGAACGGATATGAGTGTTTGTGGCACTTTTGCTAAGAACAGCTAAATGCCTTCTAGGGGAATAAGTTGTTATCCCCATTTTGAAACGATATCATGGTTCATTCCTCTCTATCGCAGCTTATCTTTTCACTGCTTCTTTGTGTTGCTGTTATGAACAACTATCAACATATTTTTTCACACAGTGTCTCCAGGGAAACATTCATAGTGTTTCACAGAGTTGTTCACATAAAAAGTGACACAAATAGCTGTGTAACAAATGATAAAGACAGCAAAAGAGAAAAGTACAATGCTACTTTCTCAAGTCGGCACACGTGAACGGGTGTGAATATTGGATCGTCCGTTTTGGGCAGTAATCAATAAACAACACAGATACCTTCTGTCCGACATCTGAAGAGGGGGATGTGTCTAAACATCTGTAGTTTTAAATCAAGCTTTACTCAGCCGATTTATATTCCAAATCCGGCACTTTAATGATTCCGTGACCTTAAGTGCCATCTTTGGAGCAAACTCAATATTTCAACCTAACTGCCGAGCATGTAGTAAGAATTACAAAATCTTTAGTTTGTTGATTGCTCCATTTATTAGTTTTGTATTGTTAAGTCTGGGTTTGATGTCCGGACCCGAGGAGCTGCTGGCAGAGCTGCAGGCTTTTAATCCTGTTGATTACTCTGCCAAGGAGATGGTAGGAAAGGAAAGTCACTCTTGTGCTGACAGGGAGCGTGTCACTGTTCATCAATCCTGTTCCCTCCATACTCTCCTAGGCCAAATAGAAGTGAACCTGACTTTTTATAGCAGTAGACTGCATACTGGCCTTAGGGGTGATGTTCTCTATTTGACTTATACTCTCCCCCCTTACCTGCATAAGTAGAGAAGGCGAGTTGCTGCTCGAGTGAACACAGAAAAAAAACGAGGCCAGCTCTCTGTGTTAGATTATTAGTCTCTCCCTCACCATGTGGTAGTGTGTGTGTCAGATCACACATCAGATGGGTTGGACCTGTCTGTGCGTACGTGTGTGCTCTTTGCTTTAGAGTGTACCACATACCTGAGTGTGAAGGCTCACATCAGTGTAGAGATAGAAGTGAAAAAGAGCGAGCAAATGAAAAGAAGGTGCAAACAGAGGAGAGAGCAGATGGAAAAACGGTCAGAGAGGAAAGTGAAAGAAGAGCGAGATGACGATGATGAACCTGAGTCACCACATGATTGTACAATCCAAGCACGTTCCTTCCTGTTACCAGGAGCTGGCTGCTTTATACACACGTCTGGGAAATTCTCAGCAGCAGATAGCCAGAAAAAGTAAAAAGGCAATACACTTAAAATAAAAATGAAATAAAGTTGCAGAACAGGTACATAATTTACAACTTTCACTATTGTTATTGTTTGTAGAGTAATGTACTTGAGTAAAATGCAGTGGCACAGGATGATTGCACGTTGATGTTACTGTATTTGTGCATTAGTACAAAAATATATTAATAGAAATAAATAATGCATATTAGACTATTACGCAATTATGTTATATAAAATGAATGAGTGTAAAATATTATATGCATTACATATGCATACACATATGCCCCCCCACTCTTATTATATTTATTTATACCCATTTATGTATATAAATAAATAAATATAATATAATATATATAATGAGTACTAACAGGGGAGCATATGTTGCTATTAGCACAACTTCATCATCATCATCATAAGCCCAGCACTTTAATTCTATAAGTGCTGAGCTTCAGTCACATGTGTGTTTTTGTCTAACACTTTCAAACATCTGTTTATCAGACAGTCGTCATATTTACAATTGTTTTAATATCCATTGTTTAAATATAGAAAGAAGATTGAAGGAGTGGAAGTCATTCAGCCCCGGTTATCTTGGTTATGGGGTTGTGGTGGGGGCAGGTGGGACGGCAGTGTCGCCTCGCTTTCCAGCAGCAGTGCTATGATACCTGGGTAATTACTTTGTAGGGCTTACACACATCACTGAGCAGTAACCAGGCAACCGGTCAGCCTGCTACAGAAACAGACAGAGACGTTCTTTCTGAGTCACAGGTCTGTCTGTTATAATCTACTCATTTCGTTGCAGCCAAGCCAACAGCATTGAATAAACTGATACGCTCACAAAGCTCCTCAGCAGACAGGCGTGTGATCACGACCTAATGGCCCAGTAGAATGAAAGATTTAAAACTGTAATATTCATGTGCATAACAAGCAAGCATTTTTTTTTTACTCTGCATCTGAACACTAAACTAAACTGACCTGCTCATAACATTAGTTTGATTTATGTACATGTCAGCAAACTTCAAGACGTCTTCAGCTGAGATTATTACTTTACAAAGTTAGCATTTTGAAAACAACACTTTTTCCCATTTTCATGTTGAGCAAACATGGAGCAACTAGTATTAATGTTCAGTTGCTGTCAGCTGCTAAAAATCAAAGTTCAGTATTCTCTCTTTTTTAGCTCTGTGATTGGTCTCCAGCAACTCCTGAGGGAAAGATTTGGCTTTTTATTGGATAAGAGCTCAGGGATTGGAATCAATTCTCTACCAGCTGAGAATCTGTGAAAATGTGTCTATACCATTGGAATCCTATGCCTCCGAGCTCACTAGCTGCTTTAATCAATGTTGGACTATTCTAAGACAGCTGAGCAAAGCAAAACAATGACATCAGGTTCATTGGTCTGTGCTGCTGGAAAAATATGCGTCAGGAAGAAGAGATAGTCAAAAGCATGTGGCTGCATGTGGGTTCATTTCCCATACATTTCTGTTTGGGTGGCCCAGCCCAATATTGAGTCAGGCTAACACTTTTTTTGCCACGCACCTGAGTTACAGTCACTGCTGTTACTGAGTGGGGACTAGATATGGGCCACTTAAGGGTTCATAGAGGGGCTTGTTAGGGTGCCACCAGGAAGTTAATAAGTGCAGCCATGGGGTTGTGTAAGTGCCACCAGGCGTTCTAGTAATCCAAAAATCTGCCGCTGCCAGGCTCTTATTAAATGTCGGCAGGTATCTGTTAAAATTACAGCTCCTCTCTCTCAAAAAGGCACAGTCCACTGGGCTCTATGTGTCCTGAGGCAGTAAAACCCTTTGGTGTTCTATGCTCCTTCCCTTTAAGCAGCTTGTATATTACTGAGGGTAAATATCACGACATTATCTCATTTACACCACACAGTCAGGCTTAGCCGATTCTTTTCATTGTTGCTATAGCTTGAATCAGAGATAATACAATTGTTGCATTGAAGTTTAAAACATGTTAACCTTTCCATTTAGAAAGGTGATGAGGGATCATCCAAGGTTATTTTTAGCAGCCCACCACAGTAATTTCATTACATCGTTTGTTTAGATAATCAGATTAGTTTTAGTCTAGGATCTTACTGCGAATGGCCTTAGGAAACTTAATCTTCCAACCTTACATTATATAAATGGACAGCCTTCATTTTATTTATATGCAAAGAGGCATTTTATTTGGTTGTTTCCAAAATATTGAAGTCAAAAACAATATAATCACATTTAATAATTCGAATGCTCTTTTTTAAATCCTTTGAGTGATTTTTGGTTAACGATGACTCTTAAATTTTAGACATGGAGTTCCACTGGGTTCTGTGCCGGGACCCACTGTTTTCACTTTTAGTATTCACACTCAGAGATTCAGCCTCATTCACTGTAATGTAAGTAAATGACCAGATGACCGGCAAGGATATTCCACCTCCTCGCCCTTAAAAGCTCTCTGGTTGTTTTGGCTGAATGCTGAAATGTCATCCAATGACTTGCGTTGCATTTCAATGAATGTGAGCACAGAATGCTCTTGTCCACCTCTGAACTCATCCTTTTGTCAGTAAATGTCAGTATATTAGATTCACTGGAGCCGTACATGTCCCAGTCATAACAGAATCATGATGAGGTGGTGCCTTTGAGTCATGAGCCGCTCTTTTCTCCACACTGTCCTCTTTCCATCAGTTTGATAGAGGATGGTTTTTGTTTCATCACTCTGTGGAACTGTTACAGAGCTACCTGTTTGAGTGTTTCTGTGAACTGCAGCCTGGTTCTTCAGTTTCTGAGACAAAGCAGCTGTCTGCATCTTGTGAATCCTCTTAGGTGCTGGTCATGAAGTTTTCTCTTAATTGTTGACAAGGAAACAGGTATATTGCCATCTATTCTTGACTTGCTGTTCAGTCATAACAATGTTTCTCTTCCTCATGAAAATGATTTTCCACCCATCTTCAAGACTGCGATCTACCTGTTGATTCCCTTTTCTTATTTACATGTGTACACCTGCTTTTTTGGAAACAGGTGTCCAGCTGTTAAATTTGGACAAACTAACAACTTTGAAATGTCTCTGATAGATCTTTGCTTCTTTTGAGGCTCATCGTTGTCTTCCTCAATTGCAACCCTTTACTCCTCATTGAAGCAAATGGTAAATGGTCTATTTATATGAATCTTTTCTAGTCTTGAGGCTTTACAGTACAATTTGCCATTCACACACACATTCATACAGTGAATCTATGTGCAGCACTTTCTCTATCATACATCACTCACTTCAGGCACTGCCGTCAATTTGGGCAGTATCTTGTATTTTGCTGGATGGAATGGGGGAGACAGAGATCGAACCACCAATCTTCTGGTTAGTGGACGACCCGTTCTATCTCCCAATCCACATCGCCTTCAATATATACAAACAACATATACGCAGCTTCCCAATAAACTTTAAATAGCCAAGTGTACTTACTTATGAACCCTTACATGATTGTTTTTGGACACTGTGTATTCTCATGCTCTCTATACTCTACTCAAGACTTGACAACTTTACTTTAATGCTTTATTTTATTTCACTAACTGTCCAAATACCTGGCCAGTACATCATTGACCTTGAATTAATTTGACTGTTAGTGACATAATAACACATCAGTAAATGTAGCTCAGTACATTTAACTGTGAAATACACTGAGAACCATAGTTTAACCTGTGAGTAAAAATGTATTATTATTATATAATAATATTCCGTTCCTGTCACACATGAAATGGCAGATTTAGTTGTTCTTCATCAGTTGGATTGATGGCGGATTGAAATGCAAATTTTCCAATTAACAGTGACGGGGTGCCATGGTAACAGTATTAAGTGTGGAATACTGAGTAGTGGAAATGTCTGCCAGTCTTGTCAGCAGTTTAGCTGCCTGCTCCCATGTCTCGGTGTTATAGTCCTCAGGTCTGGACACAAGCTGGTCTGAGGATATCTATTATTCTCTTCACCAAAATGGCCAAGGTAACATTTCAGATGTAGGGAGTCACTTTTGCCTTAATTAGATACTTTGTCTTTTGTCTAGAGGACTCCTCAGTCATTGTGAAAGCACATGATGAATCGTATACGTATAAGGGAGCAGTTAGGTCAAGTTCCTTTGAAAGCTTAATGCACTCAGTGAAGCAATGACAAAGAAAATGCTTCTCTAATTTAGCATCTGTAGTTTTATCACATGCATGATGTCGGACAAAACAGAATTTATTGTCAAACCTTGAGTAAAACGGCATTTCACATTCTCCTCCCAGTCTTCACTCAGCATCCTGTCGCTCTCGGCATAACCTTGTGCTGCTGAACGCTCCAAAATATAAATTAGCCTTGAATCGCATTAGCAATCAGCTAAGAGCTGGAGTGTTTATTGCGCGCTTTCAATCAATATGACAAGTCACTAAGTTCAGGGATTTCTTAGCTTCTTCTGTTTTAATTAGCTTCTGTGCTGACTGAAATGACAAGATGGCGTCATCTGTGAAACGTTGTTCTTGAGTATAAACTGCAAAACGTCTTCATTACCAGGGCTCAAAACTGTCGTTACTTTTCTCTGTGAATGTTACGTGCACATAACTAATATGTAACCACTTTGGAGATTGATTTCAAATTGTATGTTCACATAGTTAGTGGGAGCTAAGATTAACATGTGTAATGAAAAGCAATGTAATGTGACATATTTTATGATCATTTATCATTACTGTGATAAGAAAAAGGTTCGGAGTCACAGGAGCTGACAGCAGTTGGCTGTCCTCCAGTGAGCGTTCTTCACCTTTCTCTTGACCACACCCTGCTGATTTAGTGTTGTGCAGGTCAGCTGTCAGTCTGATAAGATCCGAGAGGAACAAGTGTACAGGGCAAATACATTTCCAAACACATCCCTGCATGTTTAACAGCTCATGCACTTAGCAACTTTATCAGCAACACAACACAATATTGGCTACTTCCTCCATTTTCTCCAGATTCAATAAGATGTTGGAAACTGTCTTCTGAGATTCTTCTCCGTGTGGACATGTCTACAACACATCATTTCACATCTGTCAGCTGCACATTCATGTTCATGTAGCGCATCACACGTGTTCTACTGGATTCTCAACTGGGGAGGTCACTGAAGTTCGCTGAACTCACTGTCATGTTCATGAAACAGGCTTGTGAATTGGTGTATTATCATAAGATGCTGTCAGACTTGCACCTAACTCCCCAGAGGGGCCGTATGTGTGAACCCAAATGTCAGAGTGAGAGCCTCCGGACTCTCTGCGGACTTTCTCTGGCCAGTCCCCTCGTGAATAGTCTGCCAGAAGGAACCGATGTGAGAACACAGCAGGAGATGCTCTGCAGGATTCACCACCAGCGAGTGGGTGTGTTGATGATGTTTGTAATATGCAAAAGATCTAGAACAATGCAACAGAATTACATCCTGCCTCTGCCGGCTGCACCACTCTTCATCCGAATGCTCCAGATGTGTGAAAGGCAAACTCTGGAGAAACTCAAAAAATGACTATAATGTATCACACTGTCTGTGTTCTGATTAAAAATTGGAAATGGAAATTATTTTATTCCATTTTGGTGCAGAAATCATCAGTTAATTTCAAGGACGTTTGTTGTGAGACTTGTCTGTCTGGTCCTGATGTCCCACTCACTCACTGCCCTTGTCTTCTGTTCTCTGTCCTTTCTCATCATATCATCTGTCCCAAGAAATACACCACTCCTTTCTTCCCACATTTTCCAAAATAGGAGGCAAATAAAAGCTGAATATAAAATGACACAATAGTTTTATTTCATATATGACACTATAGTTGTATTTAATCGATGCAATGTGTCTGTGTTCTGTGATTTCAGCACGGACTGCTGGCCTTCAAGTTCATCCTGACCTTCCTCATCCCAGATGTTCCCAAACACATCCAGATCAAACTGGCACGTCTGGAGTTTGAATCACTGGAGGCCTTCAAGAAAAAGGTAGAGTGATATGTTAAACGCATTGCTTAATGATTATACCAACATAATATAAATATGTATACATATCATGAGTTTGTATATACATAAGGAAAATGATCAGTAAAGTAGCATCACTGCCACATGCAACAGTGTTAAAGAACATGAGAAAATAGATGAAGAATTGTTGGTTAATCTAAATAAGCTCCAAAAGTGAATGCATAACTACAGTATATGATGTCATCTTCCGACTTCATAATGATGTCATAATGAAATCATTCCTACGTTCGTACTATTATTCCTATGATAATTATACTTTTTGATATGTATAAACTTAAGGTCGGGTCTGTAGTCCCATTGGATGGAGAGATACCTGGAAAATTTGAATTATGCATGAGGTCATTTTCTAACTTCAAATGATCGTGGTCTCTATAATTTGTGGAGATATCTTAGAAAATGTGTTTTGGGGACCGTATTTTTCTTGACCTTGACATTGAACCCAGCATGTGCTCCAGAGTGAATCATCTGGAGACAAACTCCTCCACCACCAGGTTCAGTGAAAATAAATCCATGCATGGAGATATTTCAGCCCTGTATACTCTGGATACCCTGTTCTATTTTTTTCATGATTCAGTATTTTCAAAAAGACTTAACTTTCCTTAATACAAAAGACAATTTCCAATTAAATATTTACAGTTATACATTTTTGAACTTCCAAAACTGTCCGTCAGGTTTTGGGCATTATAAAATAGATATAAATTCCGTGCTCAGGAGTTCATACATGATATCAGAGACGACAAAGATTTGAGAGTTACTTTGAGAGAGATAATACCATTTTATCAGGTATTAACAAAAAGCGATACTCAAACATGCATTGGAACAAACAAACACACACACACACACGCACACACACACACACACACACACGCCTGCCTTGTCACTGGAGACAGTGTGGAGATCTAATGCATGTGTCCATTACATCATGCTGGTCCACTGCTTCACATTTAGCATTAAGAATGAGCTCTTGATGCCTGTCCCAGACCACTTTGCTGAAGACAAATGGTGTGTCCTATGATAATAGTATTGATGTGGCTCCACTGTAAGGCATTAGCTCGCTGGGCACCGCAGACATCTGTTTGATGTGGCCTGACGGGGCTGAGTGCTTCTACGGTGAGCTCTGTGTTCATCATTCCTCTCACGTGGTTTCTGTCAGTGCTCCGTGTGTCGCCATTTTACAGGTTCAACTCTTCACTGAGATCTGTCACTGTGTTTATCCACAGGAATGAGTTTCCTTCAGGCAGCCTTACCAAGTAAATCACATGCAGAACTCAGTCACTGAAGGTCACAGTATTTCGTAGCTGGTTAGTATAGTCGAGTAGTGAGCTGCAGTCACGGACTGTGCTGTATCTCCCCTGCCTCTTGTCACTGCACATGTCAGGGAAGTTTGCTTTGATCAGTGCTGTTGTTGTTGTGGTCTCTTGGCTCTGCAGAGGCAGCTCCATGGAGGGTGAGTAGCTCGGTCTGTGTGTAAGTTGGGATGACGCTGGGGTGATATCATGGAGAGATATTAATAATATTAATAATTATAATCTCGACTACTTTTCTCATCTAACTCAGATGTGTTTGTTGTGAATCTGAGATCTAACACACTGGGTTGTGGTTGAGAGTTTGATATAATATTAATATTATCTGAATTAATTGTTATATATTAATATAATGAATTGCAGTGGATGACAGTTTGTGTGTCCTCAGCCTAAACAACCAGGCAGACAGAAAAGCATTGAGACAGAGTCAGAGCTACATGAAGGTACATGATTAGACTCTTGTTGTCGGCAGTCATCAGAACATTAGAAATGTCAGACAGATGGACGATGGAGCTCAGAACTTGTGGTGCGCACAATGCAGGACAATATATGCAAGTGGAATATTATGGATTTAAACCATAAGAACTGTGCAAGTACAGAAACTGCTCCTTTACCGTCTTCAACTCAAAATGTGTTTCGCTGATTTATTCTCTTAATGGAAGCCAAACTGTGAAACTGAACCACAGGCTGAGATCCATTCTGAACCAATGTGATGGTGACCTTCTTCCGATGTTTGCATGAACTAGCTACGGTTGAAGTTGATTCTCTGATCACTGTGTCGCATCTGACAAGTAAACAGCTGCGTTCTAACACAGCTGAGAACCACACACAGCGTGAGAATCCTTTAAATGCTTTAGGTGAAGCACATTCTTGGTTTTGGTCTTTTTCGCTGGATTCATTGAGAATGAGGAGGCGACACCGATCAGGAGCTGCCGTACTCTTTATGGATTAAGTCTAAAGAGCAGTTTAATGACGAGCAGGATTTAATGATGCCGTTAGTCATGATTATCTCCTAATTACATTATAAAATTATACAGGAGCATTTTAATTTGATTAAAGTACAATAAGCTACTCCTTCACCCAGGTTGTTCCATATGTAGATAGCAGACATCTGGTGGCCTGATCAAAATGGATGTGACACGCAGTGCTCTAAACAACGTTTGATCTGGATGTGAGCATGTATATATATATATATATATATATATATAAAATGGATCAATAGATCAATAGTTATTGGTCCATCTCTATTTCTTTGCTGTGATAATCCAGGTTGTAAGCTCCCTTCTCAATTACTATTTGGACACTGAAATTCATTCATTTTCCCTCGGTGGACGTTTCCAGTCTTTCTGCTCGTTTACTGCAGCTGATGAAGTCATTAATGTTGACGCCCTGAGGACGGTTGTCTCAGGGCCAACCCCCCACACTGTGGACCTGGCTGTGGGACAGTTACTTTAATAACATCCAGCTCTCCTGAACCTAAGTTGCAACTCGCCTGCTTTGCATCCTGCTGGAGGCAAAGAGGAATTAATTGATTGAAAAAGTAGTTCTGCCAAGATCAGCATCAAGGGAAAAGGGCTCCTTCAACTTTGTGGACTGTGATTTATCAAAGAGCAACCAGGAGCTGTTAGAGAAACTTTGAGGTCAGCTGGAACCAAAAACTTTACACACGCCTGCCCCACCCTGACAGGCGCCTGGTGTTTGGACAGATCTTTGTTCCAGGATCAGGGGTTTTAACAGAAAGTAGACACTGGGGACAACCTACATAAGAGGAAATTCCGCACCAATGCTCCGTGCTCCTGTAGCGAGACTCCCCAGATCATGAACCACATCCTCTGTGGACGCCCAGCAAGTCTCATTTGCTTCAACAAAGAGTTGAAGGAGACAGACAACACTGACCTGAGTGGACACGGCAGTGACACAATAAGTCTTGTTGGAACAAGAAGCTCGAGTGGCCTCATGTATTTTTAGAGTTCAGTAATGTTGTTATGTTCAGTGACACAGAAACACTTCTACTGGCCGATCGTCCGCCCGTGGTTTCCTTATGTTGGACTCTTTTTAGTGACGTCGCCACGTTACCAGATCTCAGTTTTATTCATGATACGAATGATTGACCAGAAAATACAAAATGAAGACTGTGATAAATAATAAGAATAGTCTGGTGAGGTGAGCAGACAGTCTCATAGTAAATAATACAAGGACCGGATCACTGCCAACTCCCTTCACGTCCCTTTAAAGTGCACCCCCGCTCTACCACACACACACACACACACACACACACACACTGCCCCCCCCCCATTACTAACACATACATGTTCTGTTTGTCGTGTGTTTCAGAAAATGCTCGAGGCCTCGGAGCTCAGGAAGGTGGTGCAGTGAGGAGGAGAGGAGGGCGTTCAGATACTGACAGATCCCCGGCAGCCGCCTCCCACAGCTTTAACACAGCATACTGTTGTTTACACTGTGCTGCTCACACACACTCATAGTTCTTCATTGTAGCAAAACAAAAGCTTTATTGTGTCTGATTGTCTGCACAGGTGAGCTGTTTATCTGCAGGAGCCTAACAGCATCACAGAGGTTAATGGTGGTTTTCTATGTGAAAGAGCAGACGACTGTTTCCTTGCACAGCTGTGCGCCACACGTGTTACATCGCTCTCCAGATGAAATGTACTGTAATGAAGTGCAGTGTTAACACGGGACAGATGGAGTAGAGTTGGCTGAAGCCAAGTGTTCAAATCACAGAGAGATGCTGTATTATGACATAATAAACTGTAGTAAAAATAGAGTTTATACCAAGTGTGTCCTGTCCTTCTGCACTAATGGTTACTAATGACTGTGTATTCCCAGTAAACAGACTCAATAACCTGCTGCTTACACTTCACTGTAATAAGCGTTCATCATCAAGTATGGAAGCCAAAAATACTTATAAAGAAACCTGATGCATATTATAGTATTATACCACATGCAGTCACTTCTGTCTGCTTCTCTGTCCTCTTCTTTATTCATGCTTCACATATTCAGGCAGAAATTTAAACCACTGCACCTGAACCTGACATTTGTCTTGGTGTGGTTCATGTTTAAAGAGAAACCTGCACATTCAACTTTCTACCTGAATTAATAAACATGAAAAAAACTATAAAAACTAATTTAATACTAAATTAAACAAAGCAGAAGTGGAATTCAAGTTTTGAGTCAAGTTCAAGTATTTGAAGTGAAAATGATAAATGCTATAAATGAGGTGGTATTTAAACAGTGAGTGTTCGGTTATGGTTAATAATCAGTCATGTGTTCTGTTGCTTGTTACATATAAATCATCATTTGTCTGTATTGGAGAGATTGTGGTAACAATGTCTCAGCATGGTATGTGAACAGGGTCTCCTCTTATAATCGGTTTGTTACTTCCAGTCATATATTCATGTGATGCCCCTGGTGCCTTGAAATAAAATGCCTATCTGAATATAAGGGTTTTGTATGCACTGGACACAGTCCTCTGGTATTTACATCAACATGACATGATGTAAAGAATAAAGTAGATTGAAACTGAGCTGCTCTGTTGTCCTTGGTTTAGTAAATCAATTAAGAGGGAACATGTCCAACTGCACCACCTGTAGGTTTGTATATGTTACTGCAGCAGCCCTGCAGCTCTCCGCTGCCTCTGGATCACAGACATATCAGCTGTGAGTAAACTTAGAGTGTGAAGCTTCTGGGAAACTTGAGTGGAGCTGAATGTGCCAAGCAGCAGAGAGTGAAGCTCCTCAGTGTCGTGTAGCGGTGAAATCACCACTGACTGCATTTCAACACCTTCACTGACCTGGATCACATCCTCCAGTCTGAGTCCTGCACCTCACTCGCTGCTCTCAAATAAATGTAGCGGTCACTAGTTTTATATTTCAGCACCGGCGACAGCCAGGGGCCGGAGGCTTTCTGTTTTCTGTTTGTGAACATGAACATGATATCTCAAGAACCACTTGAAGGAATTACTTCAAACTTGCCACAAACGTTCACTTGGACTCGAGGATTGGCTGATTAGATTTTGGTAGCCAAAGGTACCACTGGTTTTACAATATGTTTGTTTTTCTTGAACATCTTAAAATCAGCTTGAGGTACTGTTTTAAAATTTGGTACAAACATTCACTTGGACTCAAAAATGAACTGATTTGATTTTGGTGGTCACAGGTCAAGGTCACGTGAGCTCAAAAGGGAGTTTTATTCCATCTGGCACAAACATTCACTCAGACTCAAGGATGACCTGATTGGAATTTGGTGTCAAAAGTCACCGTGCCTCTTGAATGTAATATTTTAGGAACAACTCAAGAGAAATCTTTTATATTTGGCACACATGTTCACTTGAACTTACAAATGAACTGATCACTTAAAAGGTCCCTTCTTAGAAGGTCATTCTCAGCCAGCTGGATTCAAACCTAAGAGGAAAGAGCCAGACGAACACATGTATGAGACAGTACTCCACATTTTATTTTTGGATATTACCATAGCTATATGTAACATCTGACAAGTGACAACAGGTCAACTACAGAATAATACACTGAATATTCCTGTCAGTTCCAACTCAGACGTTTTTTTCTTCTTCTGCTTTTTTGGTCCAGAAACATTCCTGTGACTGACTCTGTCTGTTCTCAGTGTCACTGAATGTCAAACATTGAAACACATGCACGTCATTCACCTGGATACAGCTGAGTAAGACGACAGTCAGAGACCCGACAGTATGAATAGAATCATGGTTTTTCTCACACGGCTTTATTTTTAGCTGAGACACCCATACAGTAGTACTAATTATCATAAGGCTAGATGACTGTACAGCTATGCACCAAAAGGCTCACTCTGCTGTTCTAGATAAAGAGAAAGAGCACCATATTTACAACTCTATGTACATTTGGTTTTCAAAAACAAAGGAAAAAAAGAGAAAAACAAATACTTAAAACCTTTTAAAACGTCCTTTTTCCTTTTCAGTCCAATGTGGCCGTTGTAAGGCTGCACATGTCTGGAATAAAATAAAAAGAAACTAAAGAAAATGTTTCTGTACAGATAGCTGCAACACACAGTTTAGCTTATTGCCAATGCCCTTAAAGAATCTCCCCGTTTCCCCGTTCTTTCATTTGTTCATGTCTTGGTCAGCTCCTGTAAAGCTGCGAGTCATGAGCTTCTTCTGCTGCTGATTTACTTCTCACAAGCTCCTGTCAACATCTAAAATCAGCAGATCACTCAAAAAAAAATAAAAAATACAGAGTACACGTTTCAAAAATAAACTTTACTGTATCTACATACTCAACACACTAGTCAAGACACTGCGTCCACATGTGAGCTCTGAGAGACATGTGAGTGCAGCTGGGACTAGAAGATGCCAGCGTACATGAAATCAAATCAAACTAATACAGAGTCAGACACGACAAATAGTCTGTATCAGCAACTACAGCAACACAACGTCCTGAATAAAAAAATAATACCTCATATTAAATATACGGACAGCAGTAACATCACCAAACGTGGTGAACGTGAGCCTTGTTGCTACGGTCTCAACACCTGTCGTCTCTGCTGCCACAGAGGAGTGCACACACTTTTAAAAACCACCAGTTCAACGGCTGAACTGTTTCCTCGATTCAGACACCGTCCAAATTTAAAGGGTTGTGACCAACACTTTGTTGGAGGTAAAGTGAATGAATGGAGCTAAAATAATCAAGAGTAAAATATACATTTAAAAAAAATAAAAAAACATAAAACAGATTGTCTGAGTGCAATGTGGAGTGCAGTCTGGGGTCAGAGGTCACTCACATTCAAACCTTCCCTCTTCCCTTCATCGCTCAGAGAAATCTAAAGCTGCTGGCAAACACTTGGAGAGCAAAGGTGGAGGAAGGAGGGGAGTGTGTTGATGATCACTCTCACTGAGCACTGCGACACCTACTGCTGACTACAGCACATTAGAGACTCTATCAGGAGGGAAGAAAACTGCACAAGAGACAGCAGTCGTAACAAGAAGAGAAGTCAAGATTTTTTTTAAAGAATGACAAACATGACTCTGAAAGAAAAAGCTAAACTAATTTAAAAGTGTTGTCATTAGAATAGTGAGTCAGTTTTACAAATTTTTCTCAGGATATTTCAAGGAAATAGTTACAATTTCTAGATTGCTTCTATCAAAGATACAATGTTTTAAGTGTTTTATTGAAATATGCAACAAACCATATGTTAATGTGCAGAGATGCTGTTACTGAGCAGCCTGGCAGCAGTATCAATACGTATAATAATATTATATATAATAATAACCAATCAGGGGAGGTCATAGTCAGGGGTGGGACCTCGCAGGTGTCAATCAATATGTGAACACAGCTCTAGTGGACTACCTGTCTCACATGAGGCTGCAGCGTTACAGCTGAGTGACAGGAGTGGATTCAATCTGGTAATAAGTCTTTACTCTTAAATATATTTTCTCCATGTCAAAGATTATCTCAAAATAGCAAAACTTTTTTCAAAATATTGATGATTTTATTTTACAATATGACTTAATCTTGATATAATACAAATATTTTCTTACATTATGACTTTATTCTGATATAGATCAGACTTTTCCTGCAAAATACTTTTGTTATATTAGATTTTAGGGGATCACACTACAACTTAATTCTACTTTGGAACTATTTTTTTTTATTTGGTTTAATAGAGAACTTTAGCCAATGCCCCCCAACTCACAAATCTAGACGGTCAAATCTACCCTCCCAATTTCAGAATCTTCTAAAAACAGCATATTGTTATAAAGAATTAAAAGAATATTAGTGCCACGAGTCTGAAGAGCAGCTGGAGACATAAAACAAAGATAAAATGAATACACATTGATAAAAGTTAAAAGCAACATGAAACTCAGACACAACATGAAACGGATCAAAGTGACGGAGGAGAGGTGGAGCGGTGCAGAGCTCAGAGACAACAGCAGAAGGCAGGCGATGTGAGGTCAGCTATCTGCTACAGCTAAACACAAGACAGCACGGTTAGAATGTGGAGCAGTTACTGATCTGAAGAAAAGGGAGGAGGTCAGAAAGAGGAGGGGCTGAGCGACATGTCACACAGGAGGGAGAAGGTCAGTGCTGAGCTCCGAGCCTCAGATGACCTGGCAGCAGCTGGCTGGAGCTGAGGTACAGAGCAGACCGTCCCTGGAGCCTCCGCCGCGCTGGATGTTCACAGAGATGGTCTTCTCGCACAGAGGTAGTTGAAGCACGCCGTTTTTCAAAGCATTCAGATTGCTGTGAGCGTTCCTATCAGTGGGCCTCGCCTGCGGGCTGGCGGAGTGGTGCGGCGCTGATTTGCGGTGGTGGTGCTGGGCGGAGTGGGAGCGAGGCAGGGCGGCGGTGGTGGGCAGAGTGATAGTGTCCAGGCTCCCGGTCGAGCCGATGCACATCCTCCAGGCTGATTTCTCCTGGATTTTCACACTCCCCCCCGAGAGACTGCAGGGGTCTATGATTAACTTCCCACCGCCTCCCCCACCTCGACCCCCCCGGCCTCCACGGTGGTGCTGCAGCTGCGAGCTGAGGCACAGACTCATCAGCTTCAGGCTCTCCACCAGCTCTGCGCTGCGGCTCGCTGTGCGGGCGGAGCGGGACAGAGAGCTCAGGGAGGGGTTAGTAGTGCTACTGTTATTACAACAACTGGAGGGGCTGTCTTGTCCTTTATTACCCCCTCCTCCTCCCCCATTCCCTCCTCCCCCACCGCCATCTCCCCCACCTCCGTTCCCACCCCCTCCAGGAGGACTCCCCCTGTCCGGCCCAGAGGTGCCCCCTCCCTCTCCAGGAGGCTTCCCCTGCCCTGAGCTGCTTCCTCCCCCATTTCCCCCCGAGCTGCCAGGCGGCCCCTCACTGCTGTCCCTTCTGTTCCAGCCGTAACTGAAGCCAGAGTCTTTATCCAGACGTCTTCGGTGGCTTTCCGAGTCATCATCGCTCGTCTCTGAGCTAGAACACGACGACCCCCTCCCCTGGCTTTTACGTCGCTGGTACCGCTTCTGCGTGGAACCCGGGGACGAGGAGGAGTTGGCCCCTGAGCTCAGGCTGGTGGCGTTCCCTGCCATGTTCATCTTGAGGCGGCTGAGTTTAGGCGGCAGACCCTCGTCCATGTCGAAGTCGTCGTCGGACTCCCCTTCCTCCTCAAAGATCTGGTTGAGCACCGGGGCACTCTTCCTGGAGGTGAGGCGGTTGGTGACGGAGGGGGGCTTACGGCGCAGGATCACCTGGGTCGGGAGGGGAGACGGGTCGCGCTCTTCCTCCTCCTCCTCATCCTCTTCCACCCTGAATAAATCAGACATTTCTTTTTTATGTAGCAAAATATAATCACAAAGTCCATAAAGAATTAATCAAGAATTAATAATTTGATCATGAACTAAAAATGCTTCTTCACACGTTTAAATAAAGTGATCAGACCTGAAGAGGCATGTTCTCTGCTTGGCTGCTGCTGAGGTGGAGGCACTGGGGGCCCTGATGGTCCCAGAGCCAAGAGAGGGGCCCGAGGCGGCAGCACAAGCTCCCTGAAGAGAGATGTCGTAAAGAACAG